GCAACCGGGCGGCGACGACCTCCAGCTCAGACTTCTTAAGAATAGCAAGGATGGAAATAAAGCGAGCGAAAAAATAATAAGCGCGCCGCTTGTCGAGAATACGCCGTTTAAAACAAGGTTAGTGAGATACTTGGGAGCTCCCGCACGTGTCCCAGCGATGGAGGACGCGCCCGCGAGCCCCGGCAACCGCGGAGGGCGTTAGTCATGGCGATGGTACCTGCCAGTAATAGGGGCGCCGCTCTTGCTTAATGCTATATTATATGACAGCCACTTGAGCCAATTACGCGCAGTGATTTAGTCATATGTCACCCCCTAGATGCTACGACAACAGTTCGAGGGTTGAGAGACTCGACTGCAACGAGCGAATCGATCTTCAGCTCTCACAGCACCACGATCTCATCAGTATTCTGTGCTATGGATTAATTTTAAAGCTAATCCCCCCTTCCCCTCGTCCCCTACTGTACAAACATCCGCCGGGTGAAGAAATCTCCTTGGCAATTATCTCCCGCCAGTACAGGATGTGGCAACAAGGCGGTTTATTAATATTTTCATCACCTTCGCGTTAGAATGTACCCATTGTTTTCATGCCAGAGAGAGAATACCCCTTGCACAAAAACGAAACAAAACAAGACAAAAATCTGCAGCAAACTAGATTGTCTGATTGCAACACGAGATTTAGCGCGGGCACTACAGTGTGTAAGAGCTATTGTCTTCTCCAAGGAAAAGTTATGAGTTTTCTTGGGTCGCAATAAATAAAACCTCATAAACTGGAACCACAGGATACTTCCTACTGATTCAAAAATCTAAACGCTACGTAAATACAGTTTAACCAGCATGCAATCTGTATCACAGGAGCACGACACACTCCTACTTGTTATCCTTACAGATACACCAAGCACCGTTTACACTTTCCCCAGCCAGTCCCTCTTACCATCTTATGATCAAAATATCAACCTACCTAAGAAAAAAACTACTCCATAAAAACCGAACGTTCTCTAAATCACACTCGTTCACAATAAACAATAAACTGACTCCGCTCTCTTCGGCGGGATCGGGACGTGACATTTCCCATTATCCAAACAAAATCTATT